TCGCTTGGTTTGCCTCTATCTCTTATAGTTACCGAGAAAAATGGACTTTTATGTTTTCACCCATAAAATTGGATTTTTTCACTCAAAAACTTGATTTTTGGTGGGAAATAAAAGTGATCACAGATTTCGCTTGGTTTGCCTCTATCTCTTATAGTTACCGAGAAAAATGGACTTTTATGTTTTCACCCATAAAATTGGATTTTTTCACTCAAAAACTTGATTTTTGGTGGGAAATAAAAGTGATCACAGATTTCGCTTGGTTTGTCTCTATCTCTTATAGTTACCGAGAAAAATGGACTTTTATGTTTTCACCTATAAAATTGGATTTTTTCACTCAAAAACTTGATTTTTGGTGGGAAATAAAAGTGATCACAGATTTCGCTTGGTTTGTCTCTATCTCTTATAGTTTGATTTTTGGTGGGAAATAAAAGTGATCACAGATTTCGCTTGGTTTGTCTCTATCTCTTATAGTTACCGAAAAAAATGGACTTTTATGTTTTCACCTATAAAATTGGGGTTTTCACTCAAAAACTTGATTTTTGGTGGGAAATAAAAGTGATCACAGATTTCGCTTGGTTTGTCTCTATCTCTTATAGTTACCGAAAAAAATGGACTTTTATGTTTTTACCTATAAAATTGGATTTTTTCACTCAAAAACTTGATTTTTGGTGGGAAATAAAAGTGATCACAGATTTCGCTTGGTTTGTCTCTATCTCTTATATTTACCGAAAAAAATGGACTTTTATGTTTTCACCTATAAAATTGGGGTTTTCACTCAAAAACTTGATTTTTGGTGGGAAATAAAAATGATCACAGATTTCGCTTGGTTTGTCTCTATCTCTTATAGTTTCTGAGAAAAAAGGACTTTTATGTTTTCACCTATAAAATTGGGGTTTTCACTCAAAAACATGATTTTTGGTGGGAAATAAAAGTGATCACAGATTTCGCTTGGTTTGTCTCTATCTCTTATAGTTACCGAAAAAAATGGACTTTTATGTTTTCACCTATAAAATTGGGGTTTTCACTCAAAAACTTGATTTTTGGTGGGAAATAAAAATGATCACAGATTTCGCTTGGTTTGTCTCTATCTCTTATAGTTACCGAGAAAAATGGACTTTTATGTTTTCACCCATAAAATTGGATTTTTTCACTCAAAAACTTGATTTTTGGTGGGAAATATAGTAAAAGTGATCACAGATTTCGATTGGTTTGTCTCTATCTCTTATAGATACCCAGAAAAATGGACTTTTATGTTTTCACTTTTGGTGGAAATAAAAGTGATCATAGATTTCGCTTGGTTTGTCCGTATCTCTTAGAGTTACCGAGAAAAATGGACTTTTACGTTTTCACCCATAAAAAATTTGTTCCTGATACACACTACAATTAGTTTTGGATCACATTCGATTTTATTGTGATTCCTAATGTTTTCCACTGATATTTTAAGTAATCTATTAGATTTTGCTTAAGCCCACTTCAGAATTTTGTGTAGAAGAGATCGGATGGGATGGTCTAAACGCGATATGTAATAAAACCATCACACATTAAGAGAAAATACGGATGGACAATTTGACAGTTGTATGGCTCTCTTCATTTTTTGAAATGATTCAAAAAACAAGCAAGTCGCATTAGATCAGGTATGTATTTTTATGTAAACACATACAAAAAAAGTGAAACAACTGTTTCCATCTTACTTTGTTATTGTTTTATGCCAATCGTGTAAACACAAAAAATATAAATCATACGACTTTTATTCTCTTTTTTGTCATATGAATGGAATTTCATTTTACTTTTTCATTAGACTTGTCGTACGTAAAGTGTAATCGTCTGAAGGGCCCTTTAAAAATAGTGAATTCTCTCCTTGCATTTTCCTTGATTTTCAGTATTCAGAAGACTATGCTTTTCTAATCATTAACAAAAACTATACAAAAAGCTTAAGACTTAATAACATTTTGACTAGTTGTGATTTTTTTTTTATTTAGATCTTAATAATACGTAAATTCATAAAGTAAATATTATTAATAAATTTGCATCCTTAACTTAAAAGGGCCAATTATAGATTGCGATGTATGTATATTAAGTCATGCTCTAGTAGTATCTATTGGATTTTTTATTTATTAAATAAATAATGCACGAGTTTATTATGCCTGTCATGCTTTTATTAGTTTGTTTGCATTTTTTGTTGTGAATTGGTAGCAAATTTTGATAAGCTTTGAATATTCAACTAAATACTTGAAATTAAACTTATATTTTTTACGATCTGATAATTTGAATTAGGAATTTTTTTTAATTTTTATTAAAAATTAAGATATGCGCATATATGTATGTATATACGTATTATTGGTTATTATATCTATGATTTCTGTATACAAATATTAATGATTAAATAGTACTTAGTATAAATTGAAACGTAATCACTTGATCTGCAAAAGTGTTTGAATGAAAACAGGTTAATGAGCTATATTAAGCTATGACGAATCTTAAATACCCTACGTCACGTTAAAAGAACTCGGTTTTTATACCTTTCATCGTAAGAAGGGTATGAATGTCGAACTACATGAACACCTGCTATGTCGTCATTATTCCACGAAAGTCTTTTTCACACACAGGATGAGCTTTTGTGACGACTCACCAACTCACTTTGCACTCGAGCTAACTAACCTCTGACCATTGCTGAGATGTAAAAACATCACGCACATGGGATGCCTCTTTTGAGTTGACAACAGCACCTAGAGACGTATTCGGTAGTCCAAATACAAATCCATCAAATAAGCCGACGACTTTTTTCTTACTCACAGAGAACACACTGTGGTAAATCTGGTATAAACAGATTTTTCTCTGATCATACCCGGACAAGGAAGGAAAATTCAATGGTATCACTTGTATTACATTCAACCCAGCACACTTCTCATTCATCCAACACACTCATAGAGAACAACATCCGAGTGTTGAACCTAGGATCCACACTTTTTTTTGATTGCTTTAATCTCGAGATAGGCCCCACCCACAGTCATATGAATGACCAAAATGTTGTCTACAAAATTGTATGTGATATAAAGAGCCGTTATATCGATGTATTTTTGAGATAACTATGCTTTATGCTCTTAATGGGTTAAAGATTACTTTAAGCATAAATAACACTTCCGATTGTGCTGATATTTGTAAAACTCAAAAATATTCGTCCTAAATACATTCCTTAAACTTAAACTATACCAGTCGGTTTAGAATCACTGTTTGATTCGTTTAAGCTATGTTGTACGTCTATGTGTCCATGTAAACCTTGGGCGCACGCTCCAGGTCGCAATTTTTAATATTTTCCTCTGGATAAAGTTGAAAATGGTTGATATCGATTCATTATTTAACCTAGCCCCCCACCGTATATGACTTTTGAGCTCATCTTGTATCTAGCCAAATAGTGCCTCAACTATGTAGGTTGACCTTACTGAGTTTCATAATAATTAAGTCTCATTTAACCTTAGCTCTCATACAAATTCATCAGTAAATTAGTTTTTCGTCAATAAATTTATTAAATATCTTGGAACCATGATAAAGTTCGTATTTGGTATAGGGTTTCATATGTTCGGCCACGCGCGACTATAGTTTCTTACTTGCTTTTCTAGTAATTTTTTTTATTTAATGGACAAAACAACATTCAAATTAATGTATGAAATTATTACTTCAAATGTTATTTCAAAGAAGTAATAACAACGCACTCGTTTTTCCATTTTGAACAACTGGACGGATTGAAAAATTGGCTGATGGATTTTTGTTTTCTAACAACTTTAATTTCCTGCTATTTCCTTAACTTACTTTTATTTGTTAGATCCAAATTCAATCTAAAAGATAGAATTAAACTCTTTTTAGGAAAAAAAGAACTGAACTTAAGAATCGATAACTGAGTCTCATGCTGATAATTTCAAAACCGTGGAATAATTGTGCCATATTGGGATACCTTCGTCCTCCTCGAAATAAATTATTTTGCTGTAAAATTGTATTAATTCAATGTATCCGGTTTAAACTTTATTCAAGCTAAAGTTATCATTAAATTCATGTCTAACATCGACTTCTTAGAGCGGGTTTTTGAGATGGTAATCAAATGCCAATTAATAATTAGATTAGTTAATCTAAAAATAAATTGAATCTTATGTTAATCCCCTTTGATGTTTTTGAGTACAAGATTAAACTTCGCAGTGTTGCCATACAAAACAACAGAAAACTTCACTGTTTGTTATCAAAACAATGCATATTTTATAAAAAAAGAAGAAGACAATTATAAATTTAATATGAAAATTAATGAAAACTTAAATTAAAAACAAAAAAATTTATTTTGAAGTGTCCATAATTTATACTAATCAATAAATAGAACATTTTAATGTTTATATTTATAAAAATTTTATTAATTTTTTTGCATCAGCTGTTTACACTTTTGCATTTCGTGCTTAAGATTAAACCACCTCCATTGGGCGCTTAAACTTGCAAACAAAATTAACTAATTGAGTACTCAAAAACATCTTTCGAGGATTAATTTTAATTTAATCGCTAATCTTTCACCGAAAGATTGGCCCTTACTTGTTAAAAAATCGGTTTTAGTTTTTAATTATTTTCAACAAAATAAGAATGAAATAATTCCAAGTGAATACAATATCTGACAGGGTTTATTTATGTTTAGTGGCATTCTTTTGTATACCCTGTACCCACCCTCCCATACTGATTACACAATGTTGGGTAAATAAAAGCATTAACAACATTAAAAACGACTTAAATGTTCGGTACGTTTAAATTAATATCAAATTGTTTTAAACAAGGTGTATAAATAATGCAATAATTTTGTGCTAAATCTTATTTTTATTAATTTCTTAGTGAAACATATCATACATACATATCTATAATATTTTTAATTTTTATTAATAAACAACATATACATACATATAAAAATATACTCCCCATAGGGCACTACCAACAGCTGACTAAATGTTTTGTTTGTGTAAACTTATCAAAAAAAAAAAAAAAAACAAAAACTAACAAACAAACAATTTGTATACTTTTTCTAATGATCAACTTTGCCATTAGAATTCAGTTTCGCTAAACAACTCAACTCGAACACTTATAACGCAAAACAAGTTTTGTTTAAAGAACTGATAATGGTTTTAACAAATCAAACTACTTACGATAAAGTTAATAAAATATGGTGCGGTAAAAAAACTAAATCACGTTTTGGTCCGGAATCGTCTGTTGGTTCAGTGATTTATGAAAGTTTACAAAAAGATCCAGATCATATAGCTCAGGTATAATAAAAAGTGAAACATATCAAAATTCTAATTAAAGATAATATAAAAAAAATTTAATTTCAATAGATTTGTTATCCCTCGGATAAAAAATACACTAATAAAGATATATTAACATTATCCATACGTGTTGCTCAACATTTGGAACAACTGAAACTAAAACAAACTGAAGTAATTGGTATATGTGCGAGTAATAGTGATTTTCTAGCACCACTGGTATTTGGTTGCATGTTTAGAGGTTTAACTATCAGCACTTTAGACCCCAGTTTTGATAAAGGCAAGTAAAAAGTTTCCGTTAATGAAAATCTTAAAATGATTTTGATAAAAATAAAAATTTCTTAATTATATAATTAAATGAAAACTAAAACTAAATTACTTTCCACACAAGTTTGCTATTTATGAAAAATTAATGATTATTTTTGTTTCCAATTTAGTTACCTTTAACGGATTATGTATAGCAATTCTATTTTTATATTCTTCTTTAATGTAAACATATTTTTAATCGCAAATTTTTATTTTCTTTCTTGCAGATGGTATTAAACATATTTATTCTATTACAAAACCAAAAATTATGTTTTGTGATGGTTCGGCTTATCATAAAGTGAAAGAATCATTTGCTGAATGTGGTTTGACTTCGAAAATTGTTACGGTACGCGATCACATTGAAGGTGTTCCTAGTTTGGATAGATTTTTAAAAGAAACTGGAAATGAAAATGAATTTAAGTAAGTTAATCTTTTTTACACGACTGAAAAAGTAAACAACATTATAACATTTGTATTTTTGAAAATAATTTAACAAAATTTGGCATATGTTCTTCCATTGTACCAAAGACCAAAGGCCATATAAAAAGCATAACCCTTTCTAACCTAAACCGGTGAACGTAAAGTCCATTGTCTTTCACTACATAAAAAGTGAAGATAGATCAATGTTAGGGAACTAAAACACTAGAAAAACAAGTAAGAAAGTATAGTCGGGCGTGGCCGACCATATGATACCCTACACCAGTTATGAATATTTTATGTGATTTATTTTTCATAATAAAGCATTTATCTTCAATATTCCCTTGTTCCGATACATTTAAGCAATTTACGGAAGACAAACTAATTTTCTGAAAGGGGCTTTATATGGGGGCTAGGGGCAAATATGGACCAAGCCCGATAAAATTTTGTGAATATATTTATATTTACATAATATTTTATTGTGCTGAATTTCATCGCGATATTTGTGTTTATAAGTTAATTTGGGACATTCAAGTAATTTTCAGAAGGGGACTTTGTATGGGAGCTAGGGTCAAATGTGGCCCGATCTTTATGAAATTTGGCAGGGTCATCAAGACTTCTATAAAACTTAGTTGTGCCGTATTTTATAGGTATATATGTATATTTAACATAATTATGAGCTCAGAAGCCCTTTTCGGGGGTCCTGTTCTATGGGGGCTAGGTGAAATAATGGACCGATTTTAACCATTTTCAATAGGCTTCGTCCTTAGGTCAAACGTGCGTGCCAAATTTCATCCAATTATCTTGAAAATTGCGACCTGTACCTTGCGCACAAGGTTTTCATGGACAGCCAGCCAGACAGACGGACGGACGGACGGACATAGCTTAATCGACTCAGAAAACGATTCTAAGCCGATTGGTATACTTTAAGGTGGGTCTAGGACGAATATTTTTGTATGTTACAAACATCAGCACAAATCCAATATACCCTCCCCACTAAAGTGGTGTAGGGTATAATAAGAAAGAATACATAGGTTCTTTCTTTTTTTTCTAGTAGAATAGGAGAGATGAATGGAAACGATAGATTCCCAAGGGTTTTCAACCCTGAAGATTTATCGAGTCGTTTCCCTAAAGAATGAAATATTAGGAAACCTGAGCCTCTCTATAAAAACCAGTCCATGAAATGACTAATTCATCTGACAAAATCTAGAAGACTGCTAAAGTTAAGTCTCGCAATTTCTCTCAGTTCCTCATGTAACCTATTTCCTAGCCATTTCAAGCTGAGATTCTACATTCTAGGACAAATTGTATGCAAATTAAATTGTCACTACCGACCCTAGATCGATAGGATTCCGTATCATCCTTATCGGTATCCATTTTGGAAACTCGGTGATAACTACACATACTTCAAACAGTCTATTGAATACAAACCAGTCGTCCCTAGTTGGAAATTCCATCAGAGATGTTTCCTCGAAGTCTAGAATCGTAATACCATAATTTGTAATTCCGCCAGGGGAGTTACCATGATCAAGTAGACCTAATTTGTACATAATTTTTTGTATGATTGTGATTGTATAGAGTCTTAGTAGAATCTTAGCCGCCAAACCCGCTATAAAATGTTCTATAGATGACAGATACAGAACGATTTATAAAATTTGTTAATTATTCCAAAAGTCCTGTCTGTTGGCTTCAAAAGAAATTTTTAATCTCTGATATATCTTCTTCCGTCTTTGAGATATCTTAAACTATAGTTTAAAACAATTATTAATTCCAAAAATTCGAGTTAATGGCGAAAATGTGTTTTTAGCTGTTAGACTAAAAACAGTCCATATTCGGTTTCAGCTCAATTGTTTCAAAATTTATATTCTCGTCTCTAAGTTAAAAAGTTGTTGAACTGTGTAATTTAGAGGATTGTAAAGACTAGAGAATAAGGCTTTCTAAGATTTGATTAAAATTATTTTTTCTCCTTTTAGATGTGTGGAATTAGAAGATGGTTATGATCAAACGGCTGTAATCATTTGTTCATCTGGCACAACGGGACTGCCTAAGGGCGTATGTGAATCTCATGCCAGTATCTTAAACACACTGTAAGTATAATAATACTTTCTAGTTTTGAAATTTCAATTAAAAAAAGTGTCCATTTAAAATTCTAATGATTACTATTATTTCCACACTTTCCAATTATTTTTTTAGCAAACTACCTCCTAGTGCCAGTATACTTTCCTTTAGCACCATTTACTGGATATCTGGCATATTTGCTCTCATCACCGGCACCATTGAGAATATGACACGTGTTATAAGTTATCAAGCTTATAATCCTGAAGATGCTCTAGAGATGATTAAACGTTATAATATTGAGCTGTTTCTGGGACCACCAAATCAATTGGCTTTAATGTTAGCTTCGCCGAAATTCGACAAAGACTATTTGAAAAGTGTAAAATTATACTTTATGCTAGGTAGTCCACTGCCCTTCCAATTAGTGGGTAAATTAAAATCACACATACCGGATGCTTCGATTTATGTGGGTTACGGCATGAGTGAAACCTGTGGCGGTATTGCGGGAGGAATAGCTGTTAGCAAACGTAACTGTGGACAGTTATTTGATAATCTGGAGATAAAAATAATCGATGAAAATGGTAGACATGAGGAGGAGTTGGTAGTTGGTGAAATATGTGCTCGCACTCAGTATAAGTGGTCGGGTTATTATGGCAATCCTCAGGCAACATCTGAAATATATGACTCAGAACGTTGGGTTCATACTGGAGATCTGGGCTATGTAGACAATGGCTGTGTTTTTGTGGTTGATCGTAAAAAGGATATTCTAAAGTACAACAACTTCCATTTCTTTCCCAATGAAATTGAAAATGTTATAATGGGACTACCAGATGTCGTGGAGGTATGTGTTTGTGGTATACCCGATGTTGTAACAAACAATTTGCCAGCTGCTGCGATAGTCAAGACCGCCAATAGTACATTAACAGAGGAACAGGTCTATAAACATGTCACTGTGTTGGCACATTATAAACACTTGCGTGGTGGAGTTTATTTCGTTGACCAACTTCCGAAAACAATGTCTGGAAAAGTTCTTCGTCGTAAAGTAGCGGAATTGTGTACAGAGTTGTATAGAGCATAGAGCATATAGATATGTTTATAAATTTTTAACTAATTAAGATTTATTAATATTAAATTGTTAAATATAAATGTTGATTTTCTATCTTTATTGAAAATGTGTATAGGTGAATCGTTAAAATGTCAGGTTTGTGTTATATTTAGGCTAAACTCAAGATATTTCTTTTGCATTTGAAAATTTTAAATGAGTTTATTGGTAGCCCTGCTATTTATTTCTATTTTAAAAATAGTTTATATCGGTTCAAAAATTTTCACTAAAAGATGAGATGTGGCAACCCTACCAAAATAAGTCTTATAAAAACTACAAATAGTTACTAATTGTAAGACCAAGCTTATTTAAATCAGTTCACTGTGACAAAGTAATAGTTATATCAATAAAAGAAACTTAAAAACAATAACTGATATATGGCTACCCTGTCAACATAGCTTTTTTACAAATATATATGAAGAAATAACTATTTATAGAATTTTCGATTATTAAAAACGACATGGAAACCCTGCTAAAATGAGTTTACAAAAACTAGAACCAATTTGCAACCATATGACACCAATATCATTAAAACGGTGGAGTATAAAAGGATATACATATGTATAACAATTTGCAAGTTCTAACAACAAAAACATATAAAATATAATGAAGATCACATTTTAAAAAAACTAATAATATTGGTGTCATATCATTTAAATCGGTTAAATTAAAACAAATTTAAAAAGCAAACATTATGTCAATAAATGACATGGTAACCATGTCGATATAAGTTTAAAAAATTTCCTAACATACGAGTCCAAAATTGTCAAAATCGTTTCAGTATATACGGAGATATAGTAATTTATAAAAAACTCTAATGTTATATCAACAAAAGTAAGTTAAAAATAATAGAAAAGACATGGAAACCCTGTCAAAATAAGTTTTACAAAAACTAGAATGAATTTCCAATCATATGACACCAATATCGGTTAAGTATTTACGAAAATATAACAATTAAAATAAGTTGTAAAAGTTATAATATTAAACGACTTGGCAACCCTGTCGATATAAGTTTAAACAATTTCCTAAGGTATGAGTCCAAAATTGTCAAAATAGAAAACTTTAAAGATATATGTACCAACAAAAGCGAAATAAAAATAATAAAAACGACTTGGTAACCCTGTCAAATTAAGTTTTACAAAAACTAGTACCAATTTTCAATCATATGACACCAGTATCATTAAAATCGATTCAGTGTATACGAAAGTATAACAATTGAAATAAATCTTAAATGTTATAACAACAAACAACTTGGTAACCCTGTCCAAATAAGTTTTATAAAATCCAGTAACAATTTCCTAACGTACGAGTCAAAAATCATTTAAATCGGTTCAGTATATACGGTGATATAGTAATTTGTAGAAATCTTTAAAGTTATATCAACAAAATCAAAATAAAATAATTAAAACGACTTGGTAACCCTGTCAAATTAAGTTTTACAAAAACTAGAACCTATTTCCAATCATATGACACCAATATCATTGAAATCGGTTTAGTATATACGAAAATATAACAATAAAAATAAATCTTAATAGTTATAACAATAAACAACTTGGTAACCCTGTCCAAATAAGTTTTATAAAATCCAGTAACAATTTCCTAACGTAAGAGTCCAAAGTTATTTAAATCGGTTCAGTATATACAGAGATATAGTAATTAATAGAAAACTTTAAAGTTATACCAACAAAAGCGAAATAAAAATAATAAAAACAACTTGGTAACCCTGTCAAATTAAGTTTTACAAAAACTAGAACCAATTTCCAATCATATGACACCAGTATCATTGAAATCGGTTAAGTATATACGAAAATATAACAATGAAAATAAATCTTAAAAGTTATAACAATAAACGACTTGGTAACCCTGTCCAAATAAGTTTTATAAAATCCGGCAACAATTTCCTAACGTACGAGTCCAAAATTATTTAAATCGGTTCAGTATATACAGAGATATAGTAATTTATAGAAAACTTTAAAGTTATACCAACAAAAGCGAAATAAAAATAATAAAAACAACTTGGTAACCCTGTCAAATTAAGTTTTACAAAAACTAGAACCAATTTTCAATCATATGACACCAGTATCATTTAAATGGGTTCAGTATATACGAAAATATAACAATTTAAACAAATCTTTAAAGTTACAACAATAAACGACTTGGTAACCCTGTCCAAATAAGTTTTATAAAATCCTATAACAATTTCCTAACGTACGCATCCAAAATTATTTAAATCGGTTCAGTATATAAAGAGATATAGTAATTTATAGAAAACTTTAAAGTTATATAAACAAAAACAAGTTAAAAATAATGAAAAGGACTTGGCAACCCTGTCAAAATAAGTTTTACAAAAACTAGAATCAATTTCCAATCATATGACACCAATATCATTGAAATCGGTTTAGTATATACGGAGATATAGCGTTTTAAAGAAATCCCGAATTTTCGGGTATTTCGTGAAATGTGGCAACCCTGGTAAGGTATTGTGTCAGCGCCATCTATTGGTCGACCTGGTTTTACTTTGTACAAACAAAATTAGGCCGCTCAATAGATGGCGCTGATCGGACATCATTGCAGTGTTGCCAGCCTCGAAAAATTTCCCCCACATTGGTATACGGCATTGCCAGAACAAAATCAGTAAAAAGCCGTTAAATTTAAATTGAATAAAATGAAAATTTAGCATATCTTGGACTTTTTCAACCAATTTTATTAAAAATGGTCTCATTTGAAAGCTATTTAAATAGGCTTTCTAATGAGAATAATTATTGCTATTAAAATGTTTCCAATAAATAATTATATGTATATTTATTATAATTTTGTTGCAATAAATATTTATGTAGATCTGTTAATACATAATTTCAGTTTTTTTTATACTTTTTTCATACAATATAAGAGTGTTATTTCTTTTTTTAATTTGGTGACATTTAATTGTATTTTTTATAAAGATTTTGTCACTACATTTTCTTAGAGAATAACTGCCATTAACCGATTTTTTTTTTAATTTTCCGATTATAATATCTTTTTTTGTTTGAAGAGTTTTTAGTATTTAGAATATTTATATTTAAAGACGTACATAATGTAGTAATACCATAAAAAATAAGATTGTTATAAAAAATAATTGATGTTAAATTTTGTTTTTAAAAAATGTACAAAAAAATTGAATACAAATTAAAATTGTTTAACAATTTATTATTAGTTTGTTTTTTTTGAGTAAATTTATGTAAGAGGGGAAAAAACTTTCATTTTTAATGAACTTATAATAATACTTTAAAGGGGAAATTAAATAAGGGAAAAATAAAGAGATACAATTTGAAACTGAAATTTAAAATACCAAAAAATGGGAGGGAAAGGAAATAATTAAAACTTTAAAAAGATTTGCTTAATAAGAAAAGAAGTAAATTGAAAGAAGTAGAAAAAAAATAAAGGATAATAATGCTAAATAATTGTAAAATTGCCATTTGAAACAACTTTATATAAAAGTCTTTTTTTAAAGCTGTATAAATATAATTCATCATGCTTTGTTCGTTTTCTTTTTTCAACTTCTTTAACGTTACTTTTTCTCATTTCAACTACTGCTTAAACCTCATCGTTTTGATTCATTTTGAGCTCATTGAGAGTAGCATTAAATCTAGACCATTCATCCCTTGATGGTTGTGCTAAATGCTCGGCCACATCGTAGACATACAAATGGCCAGCATCGTCACCAACGGTGACATGTTGGCCATTTGGCATCCACGAAACACGATTCAAAGCTGGAGCACCATCAACTACAACAGATGCTGTGGGTACTTCGGTGTCTTGATTTAGATTCCATAAATCAAGACGGCCACTACCATCGACAGCAGCAAAGAGAGCAGGATGAATGGGAGACCAGGCTACATCCATAACATAATCGGAGTTGTCTTCAAACGAGTACAAAGGTTTTGTATCCTTCAATGACCACAATTTAATGGTCCAATCGATGGAAGATGTAAGGAACAAATGGCCAAAATCAGGTGATGATTGATTGTAGTGTGTTGAAATGCCAGTCACGGGACCAACATGTTTTTCAAATGTTTCATTGACACCCGAACGTAAACCATGACGGGAAGCTGTAAGAAATATGTTAATTTCTGTTCTTAATACCATATATTACACAAACTTACCCGAATAGACGTAACCATCTTCACTGCCCATCACTAAACTATTAATCTCATTGGCCGGGAATGCCATGCAGGTAATGGCAATGGCCTTCTTTTGACTCTGTTGTAATTCTAAAGTATCTTGCGGTTGTGACAACATATCCAAACTCCATGAACATAATTTGCCATCGGACGAAATCGAGATGACATTATGAGCATTTTGTGTACCAACCATTTGTAGACAATAAACGGGATGGGTATGAGCTGCAGCTGAAAGTGGTGTACGTTGTATGGGTGTACGTTTCTGTACACGATTATCCCATAAAACAACTTGACCGGAATAAGTGCCGCCCAAAATCAGATTTGGATTGAACTTGGCAAAACAAGTCGACATGACAGCACTTTGACAATGGAATACATCTTCGGGGGTGGTTTTCTTGAATTTTGTATTCCAAACCATGACAACGCCATCCGGTTCATTGGGGCTTTCCTGAAAAGGGCATTTTAAATATTAAATTTTTGATAACATTAGTATTAAAATGAAATTACCTCATTATTATGATAGGAAGCCACTACCAATTCGGGAAAATGTGTAGACCAATCCATGCATGTAATACAGCGATTTTTCGACCAGCGATCATCATAGAAAACACGATTTAACGAAAGACGTGCATGAGATTTTTCATCGTTTGCCTCCTCATTATCACCGCCGCCAATATAATCCAAGTAAATGTCAACATTTTCGGATATAGCACGCTCCATAATGCGACCAGCACGTAATACAAACCTTTGGAAGTCCTCAGATAAGATAATCATTTGCTTTTGCTCCTCCGACAGTTCCTTAACTGCAACAATTAATTTATTTAATTTCTTATAATTTTTACATATTTAGCTGGAATTGTTTAAAAGAAAAAACGTACTTTCTTTCTTTTCCTCTTGCTCTTTCTTTTGTTCCATGGGCGTGATGGCTGGTGCTACATCCTTCACCGTGGGCAAACCATGTGTCAAATAGCCGGGTGGCAATTTTGAAGTGAATCCATCCAAATGTGGTAGAGAACTCTCTTCGTCATCTCCTTGGGCATCAAATGCAAGCACTGTTTAAGGTATAAAAACTAACACAGCTAAAGGAACATGACAATCGACAGAACAGGAACAAATTCTACTACTGTTTTTATTTTTAATTATTTTTTGTTTCGTTTTTGTTTTTTTAGTTTTTTTTTTTTTTTTAATTAATTAATTACACTTTTAA